GTACATATTTGGAATTATTTTGGTTTTTTGGTAGGCTGGTTTGGTGTTTTACTAATCCTTGTCGAGAATTGGGGACAGAATCACTATAATATTGAATTATTCGAGTCCAGGAGCAGTAATTTCATAATGCCAACTGTGGATATTTGAACTCCAATCTGCTTAGAAAATTGAACTGATAAACGTTACACAGACCGTACTTTGAACAATATGTGGTTGCTGTACTGGCAGCAGAGCAGGGCAGACCATGAAGAAACACTGCATATCCAGTAATTGCTCTGCTGTGAGGAAACCCGGTAAGACATAAATAATAAGAAGAAAAAACTAGGCAATGCCATATTCTAATATACATTTTGTATATTTACCACAAACTTTAAAGAATGTCAGAGAAACGTTTGGAGAACGTTCCGCGAACAGTACACTTTCTCAAAAACGAACCTTCCGGGAACGTTAAGAAAACTTTCCTGAATTTCATTAGTGGAACATTCGCTTAAGTGCTCTTGGGAACGTTCCCGCACCGCTCAGTGGTGGAATGTTCGCCAAGCCGAAAATTGTTTGCTGGGAATTGCAATGTTCATATTGTATTATATTATATTATATATTATTTATAAATGATTACTCGAATCGTCAGATTAATTTATTAAGGATGTTTTAGAATTTGCACAGATCATATTTAATACGCACTTGGATGAGGCTTCTTTATGTCACACCTGGTCCATGCTTTACAAGTAAAAATTACATGAACGTAAAATTAAAACATGCAGGTAACAATATGCATTCAATACCCTAGATAATGGATATGTTAATAGTTTATACAGTTTTATACTGGACTGTCCAGGGGCTTGAACTCCGAAATTCAGTCCCACTCCAGTGAAACAATGAACTTCTTCGTTGAAATTTTCTCCGATTTTGAGCTTCATTGGTTATGATTAAAAGCCGAAATATTATTTTATGGCAACCAACGTTAATGCATTAACAGGCTGAACCCTTTGCTATTGAATACAAAAGAATTAGTCTGCCCTAGGTATATCTTAGTTCTGAAATACCTTTTTAACAGATACATTTGTACTTTGTTGACGCAGTATAAAAATCCATGTCTACAATGTGAAAAGTTGAACTTTATTGTGAAATATAGTTAAATATTGTGAAATAATATATTATTTTATAATAATTGTTTAATGAAAATCATTAGAAAATACAATTTAAAAGTTATACAAGTTGAATTCTTCTTCTCCTTATTTTAATTTTCGGCAGACTAAGCATACGGAAGAGATTTACGTGCTTATTTAAATAAGTTGCAGGAAAGTGAGATCAGTTGAGACGCATGCGGAGACGCACGTTAATGCCAGGTGTGAACGGGCGTATTTAGCGCCGTCTGCTTGTGATCTAATCACCCAGGACTTATGTTAATACCAGGTGTGAATAGGGCCTATATCTCATTTTATATTTCGATATACCGTAAACATTCGGTGTAGTGTCCAGCCATAGCCTCAGAAGATATTCAAGATTCATCAGACCAGACTATGAATTTCCAGTCTCCAGCTGTCCTGTTTTGATGAACCTGTACCCACTGCAGCCTCAGCTTTCAGTTTCTGCCTGACAGGAGTGGAACCTGACATGGTCTTCTGCATTCTGAGATGTTTTTCTGCTCACCATAGTTGTGCAGAGAAATTATCCGATTTACCATAGCTTTTCTACCTGTTAGCTCAAAACAGCCTGGCTGTTGTCCTCTGACCTCCCACATGAACAAAGCATTTCTGTCTACAAAACTGCCACTTACTAGAAGTTTTTTGTTTTTCGCACCATTATGAGTAAACTCTCCAGACTGTTGTGTTTGAAAAAAACAGGAGATCAGTCATCACAGAATACTCAAACCAGCCCATCTGGCACCAAAAATCATGCCAAGGTCAAACTCACTGAGATCCCATTTTTTATCCATCGTGGTGTTTGATGTGAACATGAATCTGAAGCTCCTGGCCAGTATCTGTATGATTTTATGCACTGCACTGTAGCCAGACTGATTAGTTAATTGCATGAATAATCAGGTGTATGGGTACTCCTAATAAAGTGCTCAGTGAGTGTACTGTATGTATTTCATTATAAAAACAAAATTAGTTACTCCAAGCCTTTTACTGTTATTTAATAACCAAACGTAGTTAAAAAAAAAAAAAAACTGCAGTTCATAAGATGAACTTTGACCTTGAAAAAAGAGACTTATTTATCTAAATGGAATTTCACACCATGAAAAAGTATTCTATTAGAGCTTTCCAATTTCCAGTATGAGTAACACACATGCCTAATTTCATCCAAATCAAAAATGGAAATTTGAATTAAAATGGAATGACCCACACGTTGCAAGTATAAATTAGTACAGGCAAACAGACATTGTTTGGGTGCCATTCATTTGGCATTCCTATCAAAACATAAATGACCAACCATTAGCTCATACCTGTAGCCAGAGGGAGATGGTTCAGGTCCAGAAAGTAAAAATCCAGACCAAGGTTTCAACCAACCAGTTGAGGATAATGAGTCACAGTCACAGAGTACTCAACTAGCTGGTTGAAACAAAATCTTGGTCTGGATTTTTACTTTCTGGACCTGAACTATCTACCTCTCCCTGTAACATATGAAACCGAATCTATTAATACAAATTCATTGCTACTAATATTAGGGCTGGGCAATATGGCACACATATCACAATGATTTTTTCCATATCAGCTGATTCTGATAATTATAATGAAAAATTTCAGAATTATTTTCAATAATTCAATATTTGAGACTATATTTATGCTTAAAATTCCCTTAGGATTCCCCTTAAACATGGAAGTGCAAAGTGAAATCTAATTTCAATAAATGAATCATATAACAATATAAATGTTGTCACAGGGGGTAACACTAGTAATATGCCAATAGTAATATTTATTGCTGAGGTTTTTTCTCTGACCACCTCGCTGCTCAATGTGGCGGTTTGACATTACTAGTAGAGCTGCCACCTGTCTCGTGCCAATAAATAAAATGAATGAATATGGGACGCAACTGAAAGTTGCCACAGTGATTGCTGGTGTCTGTGACTGTAACCTCTTGTATTCTGTATGTTCTCCTGGAAGGCATTGCTTTGAGTGATGAAGTTAATTAGAAGTATTTCCAGATTTATTTGGCACAAGGTATCAGCAGAGATAACAATACACAGCACCAATCTGTTGTGTGTCCTGGGCTTCTTTAACATGGCGAAGTACCGCCACAGCACTGACGTATTTTTATTTGCTTTATCCACAGTATCTCCTTTTTAAATAGATGTTGTGGCTGCTGACACCGATAAAGTTTGCTCTGAGGGAAACTTTCTCTCCCACGACTCACGGGTATTACCAGAACAGTAGTATGTGAGCTGCTCTCAATAAACCTTACTGTGCATTTGTTGTGCAGAGGCTGTCCATTCTCAAAACACTGTGACTGCCGGCAGGAAAGGTTATTTATTTACCCGCTCTCCCAGTGAATTGCACTGTTATTTTGACTGTTGTCTTTCAGCTCCCTATCTGCCTTATTGTACTCTCTCTTGTAAAGTGACCTTGGGTTTGTGAAAGGTGCTAAATAAATGTATTATTTTTATTATTTGTTCAATAAATCCCTGTTTGATTGTTATGGCTGTCTGTGCTTGTGCTCCATTGCTGGTTCTGTCAAGCAGTCACAGAGAAAGTGACTTCATTTCATATCAAACTTATCAAACATTTGTTATATGGATATTTGAGAAAAATATATTGTGATAATTATCATTACTGTTTTATCACCCAGCCCTAGCTAATAATTATAAATCAACATGCAACAGCACTGGGTCATTCTGGCACAACTCAACAAATGGTCTATGCTCAACCACCTCAGAATAGAACCATTTTGTGGCATTTTGTTTGCCCCTGGGCCAATATGAAAAATCCAAAGTTTCTCTGCCCTGACTCATATACTTTAAAAGTTACACTGGCTTGAAATTCAATTAGACTTTTCCTTCGTTCACAAAAATGATTGGTCGGCCATTTTCAGATGCTCATATTTTTGCAATGGCACCTGAAAACCCCTAGGCATCTCACAAATTCCAAATATATATTTATAAAGCTTGTAGCATGTACCCAACTGAAGATTAAAAATTCTATCTCTAATCTGTCAAGAGGCCTATAATCTCAAAGGGTAATAAAATATTGTCACTTTCATTGTGTCATTTGAAAGTTCTAGGTTCCCTTTACAACAGAAAAAAAACAGAATGGTATTTTCTGTTAAGGGATTATTGAGCTTCAAATTGTCAATAAAACCCTTAGACTCAATAAAAACCCTTTAGCGAATGAAGGAAAAATCTCACTGTACTTCAAGCCAGTGTAACTATATGAGGTAAGATAGAGAAATGTTGGATTTTTCATACTGGCAAAGATGCAAACAAATTGCCACAAAATGGTTCAATTATAAGATGGTCTAGCGTGGATGATACTAAATATTTGCTGAGTTAAGCCAGAATGACCCCTCTGCATTGACTAGTCATTTAATAATTTGGGAGCATTACATTTGGTTGGCTATATGGGATTTTGGCAAATTACTGTTACAAAGGTGGAGTAAAAAATCAGTTCTTTGTAGCTGATGAGAAAGCTGGGGTTTCTAGAGTTTCAGAAAAATACACACACATGAAGAATATTCTAAAGGAAAACAAAAGTATAATGAAGTACCAAATGAAAAATGATATAATCATAGCACAGTTCCTTCGTACACCTAAGTGACAACTGTGGATTCAGCCGTCCAATTGATGCAGATATATACTATGAATGGTTTTTCCAGTTACAATGGTTTCACAAATATATGTCTGTGCACAGGTCTATTCCTAGACCTTACCCAGGAAGTGTATCTGATTAAATTCAGCATTAGAATCAAAATTAGTATGACTTACTCTGAATCTGAGATGCTGAACAGAGTCATGCAAAACATTTTAGGTGAGAGATAAAAACGTCATGCTTGTTAGCAGTACTCACAGCAAATCGCAACAAGAGGCAGGATTTGCCCACACCAGAATCACCAATCAAGAGCAACTTGAACAAGTAGTCACTGTAAGAACAGGAAAATTCATGAAAGAAAGATGTATCATTTTTCCATATAAGAGAATAAATAATGCGCAAGCAAAGTTAAGTAAATAAAAGGTCAAGGTGATTGAACTATAATATATGTCATGCCTGAACATCACTATGCTGTATTCTGTAATCTTTTAGCAGTGGTGTAACAGGCATTTTACCATGTGTGCTCTGTAAACTTATACTAGATCTGGTATGCCAGGTTGCATATGTTGCATTTCATCAGTAAATTACAAAATTACCACATAACCTAAATAGTTGATCACCACCTTCACATAAAACAAGAAGGTGACACTTGTGACTCTTGCATTTTTTTTTTACTGTATATGAAGCAGTTTAGGCAAGAAGGTACTGGATTTACAGAGATTTCCTACAGTGTTCCCTAAACAGTAAAATGATGCACAGCGCAGGTATGTATCTTTGAATTGTGTACTGTGATGGTGTAACCGCCCCCCATCCAGCAGTGGACATTACAGTGATGTCATATGACCCTTCAAAAACCCTGTGTGTATCACTCACCTCCCCCACAATGAAATCAAGATGCCATACCTTTCTAATAAGTAGCTAACGATGCAATTTGTGTTATCCAAATAAATCCATTTTAACTGATCTTAGTGTTAATGATATTCGATGCGCTGCATAATTTACTTATTGGTCTCTCAATTAATAGACGTTCACGGGTATAATAATAATCAACAAATTAGCAGATTTGTCGAATTAACTACCTGTTACTGTTAAGATGACCACAACGGAACAATCCGGGTGCATGAGCTAACATTTTCAGCGATGTGGCTACTTACAGCCACGGGGCTGGCCGGACAAACAGGCCGCCTCACACATGCAGGACGCAGGATGCACGACATGACAGCGTGTGACAGCCGGTCCGGCTCTGCTGATACCCTCAGGCATGGCATACGCCACTCAAACCATGACTAAATAGCTTTTGTTTTGGCTCAGGGAGTACCCTGCAGCGTTCTCCCGTAGTTGCAACCTTCGCCAACTCGATGAAAGCCACCCAGTGACCCTGGGTGCCTACCGCTGTACTCACTATTCAGGATTCATGGTCTGCCTGACGGTCGGGTTTCGCGTCTCCTCCTTCCTGTTCTCTCAGCGCTCCTCGGCAAGCACACAATGCTGTGCACTTCGCTTCTTAGTATTCCCTGAAAGGGTGATACTTTGCTTGCGTTTGATTGATTGATACACGACTCAAAGTTAGCTCTTTTCCCGAAGGTTTATTATCTCTTTTTTCCGGTCACCGCTCCCGTTTGGTTCCAGACACAAGATGGCTGCGCAGGTGCGGCAGTGACGATAAAGGACGTCGCCTTATGGCGGACATAGAAATCCTACACAATATAGAGTGACAACCCTCAGACTGTAATTTAAAGCCCCCATAATGCACAAGACCCAATGTGTCCCAATATGTTAGAAAGGGGGCAAATACTTAGAAATACCAAAGTAGTAAAACCTGAGATTTCCCTACTTTTGGAGACATGTTTTGAGGTCCCCATTTCGACAACCTGTTTTATACAAATCTGTGAATGCAATCAAAAAAGTAAAAATGCCAAAAGTTGGTTACTTATGGTTAAGGTTAGGGATGAGTAGAGGTTAATGATGTCATGATTGGGGTTAAGGTTTTTAGCATAGAAATGAATGGACGGTCCCCATTTAGATAGGAAGACCAACATGTGTGTGTGTGTGTGTGTGTGTGTGTGTGGGACGGGGGGTTGTTTTGATGTTGTGGGGACCATTTCTTTTCGGAAACTCAGTTTTCTGAAACTAAATTGTGACTGCAATCAAAAATCTAAAGATGCCAAAAGTCTTCCATTTTGTTTGGTTGCTTGCAGTTAAAGTTAGAGCTGAGTAGGGGTTACGGTTGTCATGGGTTATGCCCATAGAAATTAATGGACGGTCCCCACAAAGATGGGAATACAAACATGTGTGTGTGTGTGGAGGGAGGATGTGTGTGTGTGTGTGTGTGTCTTTGCCTGCCATCCTGCTAGAGGTGGGAATTACTCCTGACCTGGCTTTGTTACTGTTTGTGTATGTATAGTGCATTCATGTATGCTTGGATTACACAGGCATGCAAGGGTTATTGAGTAAAGTAGTACTTTGTCAGAATGATCAAAAATCATTTTATAGGCCAAAATTTCAATATTTCTTCATAAACTAAACAATGTTTTTTTTATTTCAATCTCTTTCAGACGTTATTAAATTTTTTATAAAAATATAAAAGCACACATTGCTGCCTATCAGATAACTTCAACAAGTTACCAAATGGATGCAGAATCAAAGGTATTCATTTTGGCCTGGCACTAACCATGTATTACTTCACAATACTAAGCCATATAATGGTCCCACTGAAAACCCTGCATTCTCACATAACAGAGACTCTAATCTCAGCATTAATAAGCATTAAAAACACAACAATAACATCAAAACAAGGATCGGTGCTCGCAGATAACAATAATACATATACATACCCACAATGCTACTGAAGGCACAAGATGTTTGCAGACGCTGTAGTAAGAGCGCATTTTACAGTGTTTGTGTGAGGCTCATTCCACTACTAGTTCTAATGCATAAGTATGATCATGTGATGAATACGCAACCACGTAGGCGAACACTTAAAGGGACTCAGCAAGTTACAAGGAAAATACCAAATTGATTTTAAACACCAAATAACATGCATTTCAAATAATAACACAAGTCACCCCGCCTGACGTGATTACACATCACACAATTCCAAGTCCATGACACTAAGTATAAACATCTGGGAAAAGTAGAAGTACTATCTCTGTAACAGACCTGTGAAAGAGTGTACTCCTTCCAGACTTAATGACCTTCACCTCGACCTGCTGTCTGTCCGTCTTTGCTGGGGAAGGTCTATGTTATGTGTCCAAGAGGCCATTCATTTCATAGTACTGGGTTGTCCTTTAGGCACACAACACTTCCTGGCTTGATGTTTTGTTGAGCAGACTGCCACTTCTTGCGTGTCTGTAACATTGGCATTGTTTCCACCAGCGGTGATAGAGGAGGCGGTAGAGGGAAGCCGGTTTATTAGCAAACGTGAGTACAACCAAAACCAGGTAGGGAGTCCAAAATCAAGGTCGAATTGCAGGCATGGGTCGAGTACCGGAGAGCTCAGTCCTAGAAAGACTGACGAGACGAGGATCCGATGGGAAGGGGTGGAGCAGGACGAGCAGGACGGGCAAGACGGGCAGGCAGGACAAACCAGGGAGACAGGAGACAGAAAGATTGCTTAGTAAGGCGCATTAGGAAAAGTCGGTTCAAATATAGTGGCGCTATAGGTGCTATTGGTCAGTGGCACTCTGCCCCGCCCTTGTGGGCGTGACTATATATATATATATATATATATACAGTACACTCACCTAAAGGATTATTAGGAACACCATACTAATATGGTGTTTGACCCCCTTTCGCCTTCAGAACTGCCTTAATTTTACATGGCATTGATTCAACAAGGTGCTGAAAGCATTCTTTAGAAATGTTGGCCCATATTGATAGGATAGCATCTTGCAATTGATGGAGATTTGTGG